CACCCCCCCACCCCGCACACCTCCCTGCCCTTAGTGCTGGCTTGGAAAACTGCTCTTTCAGTTATGAATCTACTCTGAGGTAACACATGAAGAGCTATGACACACTTAGATCGCATTTTAATACACAAAGGAGTGAAGGAAAGTCCATGGCCTGCTTCAGACACTTGGCAGCTCAACTAACAGTGTCAAGTAGGACTTTTCCTGTGCTTGCTGAAACAAAAGACTCTTTCTGATGTCAGATAGGCAAGTGGCACACAAGGTTCCAGGGACATTACTGCACAGAAGTGGTACTTGCCAAGAAGGGAACTTACTTTAACCTCTGGAACTCAGCAAAGGCTTCATCAAATGCTTTAAAAGAAAAAAAGGAAAGTTAAAATTTTCTCAGTCAGAACTGACAACACACAGGGCTGATTAAAATGCACAAGGCAAGGTTTCTGCCTGACTCTGAGTAAGACAGCCCATGGATTCAAATTACAGCTTAATGCTCTCAACAAGACGACCAAGTACTTTCTAAGCAGAAATTATGTAGTAGATTTCAGAAGCTTTCATCTTGGCAAGAGACCTTCAACCTTAAGCAAAAATGCCAGCCATCAGTTCCACCCAAGAAAAAAATGAGGATGAAAGTCTGTTTCAAATAAAAGTAGGTTGTCGAAGCATCCTGAACATCAAACAAGCTTTTTCTTATACAGTATCCCTGATAGACTCCTGACTAGGGAGTCCAAATGTCTTCATGCAGGGTTTTCTGGTCCATTTGGGCAAAAGAGCACAGTGAGTGAGGGTTGTCGTGCTGTGTGCCAAGACTGACCTTGAGTCCACTGTCTATCCATCCCACAACAGAGCCCCGAGGCAGCATTTTTTTTTCTTCCAATTTGACTTTTTAAGTATATTTTTGTTAACATACAATTTTTTTTTTATGTGTATGAGTGTATTGCCTGCACGAGTGTCCCACGGAGGCCAGAAGAGGGCATCTGATCCCCTGGAACTGGAGTTACAGATGGTTGTTAGCCACCATATGGGTGCTGGGAATTGAACCTGGGTCCTCTGCAAGAGCAACCAGTGCTCTTAACCACTGAGCCATTTCACCAGTCCCTCAAATGGGTTTCTTTGTGACATTTCATACATATGTGTCGTTGTGCTTCCCTTATGTCCCCCTGCCCATTTTCCCTTCTTTCACTGAGGCAGTATTTCTCAGACCACGATGGAGCTGAGATGAAGTGTGAGAAAGGGGTTAAGAATTGCAGTGTTCTCAAAGAATCCTGTCCCCGTGACTTCAGGTAGCCCCTCTGAGGCTCAAGAATCAATCTCTCTCTCTCTCTCTCTCTCTCTCTCTCTCTCTCTCTCACACACACACACACACACACACACATTTATTTCTGTGTGGGGAGGGGGTGTGCCTTGGCTCATGTAGGGAGGTCAGAGGACACCTTTCAGGAGTCAGTTCTTGCCTTCCATTCTGTTAAGGCAGGATCTTTCTGTGTCTGCTGCTATACAGCATACTTCAGGCTAACTGACCTTCCTGTTTCCAGTTGATTCTTCTGCCTCCATGCCCCAGTGTCAGGGTAGAAGTACTGGGGTTACAGATGCATACCAAGTGTCCAGCTTTTTACGTGAGCTCCGGGGACTGAACGTGGGATATCAGGTTTACACAGCTAGTGATTTTACCTCTGGGACCATCTCCCTAGCCCAAGAATCACATTTTAAGTCTAGAGAATATTCACATAATATTGGTTCCCTCTCCACTCACTTTATGCATGGAAAAATAAGTATAAAGTCAGGCTTCAAGTTGCCAGGCCTTATTTTTTCTCATCTGTAAAATGACTGAGATTCAAGTTGAGGTAGGCTGAGATTCTTCCTGTCCCCACACCACACTGAGAGTGTAGTCAGGCCACTCTGTGCTTGGTGGCAGTGGCAACTTGGGTAAGAAGAGCCACAGTCTTTGGCTTAAGGGGAATTTGAGAGTGGAATCATGAAATAAGCTTTAGTGTTAAAAATAATTTTTGAAAAGTGTTCAATCATCCACCCACTTGCTGCTTCCCCCTTTCTATCGTATTCCACATGGTCAGATGGGCTGTGGAAGAAATTCAGTGGTGCGGGCGCATTGTGGGTCAGGAAGTCCTGGACTCTGGTGCAGCCACTCCCATCGCTGAAAATCCTTCAGCAAGTCTTTGCAGGCATAATAGGTAGGTGGGGTGAGACCAAGGGGATTCAGAGAGCACCGCTTGCACACACACACACACACACACACGCACGCACACGCACGCACGCATGTTTAGGAAGCTGCTCTCTGAATTATGAATCTGCTCTGAAGTAGAAAAGCATGAAGAGTTACAGCACACTTAGACTGCGTTTTAATGCACAAAGGATAGAGGAAAAGGCAGTCCACAGTCCCCGTCACTGACTTGCATCTGGACCATTTTACTCTTTGGGAAAGGACAGGAGGGAGGATGGAATGCTGAAGGGGGAGAAACGCTGTAATGTTTTCAGCTGTTGTTCACCTTATAGTTGTTTGCTTTTAACTTTTTACATTTTATTCAATAATTGGGCATCACCTTCGGTCTTTGCTTCTTGCAAATCATTTACGTGCACCTCTCATTGCTTTCTTTGCCTCTTTCCTCTTCTTTCCAGGACCCCCTAACCTCAGCAGACAGTGAAGACATCTGGGACCATTCAGACCCAGGCTCTCCAACTCCCTTCTGGTCTGCTCAGTGTTTGTCTTTGCTGCTTCTCAATTGCTCCTCTCTAGTTTTGGACAGAGCGCACCCTGTATTTATTCTCAGAGTCAACCCTTTCCCCTCTGCCTTTGGTCTCACTCCATCCATTCTTTGGAGCTTTGATGTCAGTGATTTCCCTTCACTCACATATATTCTATCTTCACAGTCAAACTAACTGGTTTCTTGGACTTGATGAAGATGCTCAAATGTCAATCACCATACACAACTACTTTTCACTGTGTGTTCTTCAGAAGTGATCATGAGTTAACTGCCCTCTTTGTGAGAATTTGCATACAAGAGTGGCACTTTCTCTCCACAGTTACTGTCTCCCTCTTACTTATTACTGGTTGTCTGCCCCCTGAATTCTCGCTTCAGTCACCACTACTGATTAAGACTGTCTTGCTAAAGCACTATAAATAAAACGCACGAGGGGCCACTGTTTCAGACTGGCTACTGCACTAGTTCTCCACAGACCAGACCTAACCAGAAGAGTCACTCATGTTAGGTGCCGTGACATCAAACTGAACTTAAAAACAGGCCAGGTTTCTAAAACATGGGATTCAAAGTAACCAATCAGAACGGGTTTATTCAACCCAAACATGCTGAGGAAATTTTGTTCTTCAACATCACTAATATCACACCTGTTTTAACATTACGAATGTAACACGCTATAGTAAGTTAGAAGCCGTGGAGTGTTTACCTTGTCCGGAAAGGTCCACTGTCTTCTGGTGTCCCGTCTTACCATCAAAGAGCTCCATGACATATTTTCCTTTGTCATTTGGAGTAGGCTCATTGATTTGTAGCCAGATCTGCTCCCCGGTGACCCCACTCTTAACTCTGTCTGTGTACTTAATACCAGTCCCACTGTTGAAATCAAAGAAAGCATTGTTACTGTTTAATTTCATGCAGAGTGATCTTTCCTGTCTCTTATTAAGGGGTCTTACTATAAACACTTTTAGGCTTTAAGAAAACATGAGACCTGCGAATGTTTTTCTGCTTCAGGGTAATTATGGGCCCTGAAGCCCAGCACTTGAATTTCAAGGCCCTGGGACCTATAGTCTGAACATCTGTTTAACTTCCCATAGGAGTCTGGGGCTCAGGGAAAATGTCAAAACCAATGCTTCTCAGTGGTTTTAATTATCTTTGTTTTTGCTTTGGTTTATTTGTAGGATTAAGAGCATCTTTAAAAGTGAAAGGCCAAACTGCATACTATTTTGCTGCATAGTTAATGTAGATGTTTTACGGCCAAAGTAGATTTTATAAGCTAGTCAAATACACACTTAAGGGGATTATCTGTGTGTGACATCTATTGATATATGCTGCTCCAAAGCTATTTAAAACTTACATAAATATGCACTAGATAGTAGAGACAAGAGTCAATAAAAAAGCAGAGTGGTTATGATGAATGAGGCATGTGTACTGACCCTGTGTGAGTTCCTGAGTTTTCTGCCATAGGTCATGGACAGACCTGCTATTGTGTTCTCTGTAAGAGAACAAAAGGAAATACAGCCCTTCCAACTGTGATCTGATTCAAATGCTATTGCCATATAGGTAAAATAAGGGAGGGGTTGAGAGATAATCTCATAGTACTAAAAGAAACTTCATGAAGAGTTTGTGATACTGAAGAAACTTTTTATTTTATTTAATTAATTAATTAATTAATTAATTAATTTATTTATTTTTATACCCATGAAGAAACTTTTTAAAAGCAGAATAGGGCCAGTGAAGACTCAGTGGGTAAAGACATTTGTAGACATTTGTGGTTAAGCCTGATGACCTGAGCTGGATCCCCAAAACTCACATTGTGGAAGGGGAGAACTGACTCCTGCAGGCTGTCCTCTGACATGTGCTGTGACATGTGAGAACACATAAATATACATAATAAAATACCTTATTATAGAGTAACAATTTTATATGGAGAAAAGTTTGAAAGAAAGTACCTTATGATTTTCATAATGTGGCTAGAAAAACTATGGGTGACATCATATTATAAATTCTTTCTATTTTACATTATAATATTATAAATGAATTTTCTAAAATAAGCATGCACTAAGTTTATAATTTAAAGATGAACATTCAAAAACAAACCAGAAAGTTTTACCTTTTAATAAAGGGGGGGGCTATGGGAGGGTGCCAGTGGGGACGGGAGTATAAAGATGATTAAGACTGTTTGAGCTGTTCTGTATGAAATTCACAAAAAATTCAATAACAAAATTAAAAAATATATTTAGCATTTTTCATAATACTATATGCATTGGGGGGATTTATTCACATATCTTTAAAGATATCAACAATTCAAATGCCATAAAACTAGGGTAAAGAGCTAGGCGTGGTGGCACATGCCTTTAATCCCAGCACTTGGGAGGCAGAGGCAGGTGGATCTCTGTGAGTTTGAGGCCAGCCTGGTCTACATAGCAAGTTCCAGGTCAGCTGGGACTACAGGGAGACCTTGTCTCAAAAAGACCCAAAACAAACAAACAAACAAAAAAACAAAAACAAAACAACCCCCCCCCCACAACCTAGGGTAAAGAAACCCATCTGTATCCTGCAGGTTTTAGCCTGAACAACAGATATGTCTAAGAGTCAGACAAGAAGAACATTCTCCATTGTGCAATAATAAATGCCCGAGTTCTTTACTCTCCAGTGAGCATGCACAATGGTATCTTCTATGTATTAAGCACTTCAGACAGAATGGCTATTATTGTTTTATATGAGAAAAATAACATCCATAGAATTAAATGACTTTTTAAAGAAGATAAAAGCAAAGTCAAGACTAAAGCCCACTTTAAGGTGAGTTTTTCTTCTCATTTTGCCACATACCTACAAGACAGTAAGACAACCCTCAATTACTGAGTGTTTCATAGGAACACAAATATATGAGAAACTCATGAAGCTGACAAGAACAACATCGTGGGAAGTTCATGCCTCACTAGTCTAAGAGCCATTTCCTTAAAACAGATTTTTGATGTTCTTATTCTTTAAACAAATAATTCTTTTAAAAAGATATAACTTTAAAAAATTATTTATTTATTATTTTAGTGGAGTGTGTGTGTGTGGACCACAGTGCATGGGTAGAGGTCAGAGGACCACTTGAGGCAGTTAATTTTTTCCTTCTACCATGTGGGTCCTGGGGATGGAACTTAGGTCTTCAGGCCCTGGAGCAAGCACCTTCATCCACTGAGCCATCTCACCAGTCCCAGGATATAAATTTTTAATTGATGATTCAACTAATTTTACTTCCCTCATTCCTCAAACTGATATATTGCAATGTGCTAGATGTCACAGGGGAATTTCCTAGGATTTGATCTATTTTAACTTTCAATTACTTCCCTACAGTGGGTTCTCAAAGACAGAGACAAAGAACAGAGAGTTCAAGCATTCCACACTGGAATTTTACTAGTTCTCCCTTCAGAACTCAGTATACCATTAATACTACTGATAAAATACTATTCTACATAACATTCCAGTCATTTTAAAGGAAACACACGTGACTGCTTTCAAGGACCCAACTCTAGTTAACCATTCAATTCACTTTTTTTCTTTTTCCTTACTTTTCGTGGTGTTAGGGATCAAACTCAGGGCCTTATACTCTACCACTAAACTATACCACCAGCTTTATACTGTTTTTTAAATTAAAATTGTTAACTGGTGCATACAAGTTTAATGGGGTAATTTGGAATTTAACTTTTTTTTTGTTTGTTTTGAGACGGGTCTCACTCTGTAGCCCAAGTTGGCCTTAAACTTCAATCCTCCTGCTTCCTGAGTGCCGGGATTATAGATATGCACTGCTATGCTCACGGTAATGTGATGTTTTCCATTGTTTTTTAAAAAATATTTTGTTTATTATTATTATTTTTAATGTGTATGAGTATATTGCCTGCACGTATGTAAGCACACTCATGTCATACAATGTCTGCAGAGGTCAGAAGAGGGCATTAAATTACCTTGGAACTGGAGTTATAGATGGTTATTAGCTGCCATGTGGGTGCTGGGATTCAAACTTGGGATCTCTGTAAGAGCTGCTTAACTGCTTAGCCACTGCTTACCTGCAGATCCATCTCTCCAGCCCCTTGCCATTGTTTTTTTGAGATAGACTCTTGCAATGCAGCCTAGGTGGCTGGAAGTTCTCTGTGTTGCCCAGATTGGCCTTGAACTCACAATCCTCTTGCTTCAGCCTCCCAAATCATGGTATTATAGCTATGTGCCATCATATCTAGTGGTATCATATTTTCAATATATACTTTTATTATATACAGACTAATACATACTAATTTATATATATATATATCCTAAAGACAGTATAATATTTAAATTAGGCAAAATGTATCTTCTCAAACACTTATCATTTCTTTATGGTGAAAACTTCAAAATCCTTTCCTCTAGCTTTTTGAAATATGCAATATATTATTGTGAGTTATCGTCACTATACTATGCGATATCACGTAAGAACTTCTTGCTATATTCTGAGTGCCTATTGATCAACCTCCCCTTCCCCCATTCTGGACTTTCCATGCAATTTGGGAAGGTGTGTGTGTGTGTGTGTGTGTGTGTGTGTGTGTGTGTGTACTACAATGAGCAAGTCTGGAGCAAGACTGACTAGGCATATCCCTCAACTCACTTCTTAGCTCTGTGATCCTGTCATGTTGCCTTCCTGAGCTTGAGCTTCCTCATGACTGGAGTGAGGAATACTTACTGCATAGACTGTGAATGTGAAAGAATCCATATATCTAAGAGTTTGCAGCAATGCCTATCAGACTGTCCATGCCCATTGAAGGTACAATATAAACATTGTTATCTATATCCTCTAGGGCCACAGGACCTCTGTTGACAGTTTGGAATGAATGTCTACAGCACACTAAAATTAGGCCGAAGGTGGCTACGTCCAAAAAGATTATCTACACCATTTCTCTGTTCTATTTCCACCAAGGATGTCTCAATGAAGCCCAGGGGTTAAGTATATGTTCAGGATTAGGACAGGAGGTCTTAAAAGCAATCCCTCTGTAACTCTACAAAGGCAGTCTGGGATTAGGACAGATCTCCAAGCTCAATCCAATTTAAACTCAGATCCCCAAAGTGATCGTGACATTTCTAAACCCTTCTGAAGGTGGACAGGAACCATGTTAATGTCCAATTATCCATCTGCTATAACACTGATAAGCCTAGATACTTCTCAGGATGAAGCTTGTATGGTAAAAGGCCTTGAACTCATATAACAGGAAGTGTGGTACAAAAATGTCCTGGTGCACATTGCTTCAGACCTTAGCATGTGTTGATTCTATCTAGAGAGGACTAGAAGCATAGCTCTGGATGCCTGGCTGAGAACAGACAGCCTTCACACAGCTGTCTTGGGTGGAGGCTACATTACAGAGATGCCTATGATGATGCTTTTTAGATCACAAGGGAAGAAGTACTGCAGCCATTATGGTTCCTTACTCTGGACACATTGAGGGAAAGAGCTAACCTCACAGTAAAGGAGGGGGTTAAGTGTCTTATGGTCCTCAATATATACCCTGAGAATTAGGAAGATGCCTTACAAGGGGGAAGAACTCAGGAACCCCCATCCCTAACTGAGGAATTATGAAGTTAATGGCTTTTGGGGGAAGGAGAGCCAGTTCTTCTTATGGGTGTGACCACTGGCAGGTCAACCACATTGAAGGAGATGGCACCGCACCTAGGTGTATATGGGCAGCACAAATTGGACTCAATGGTTTTTTTTTAAAAAGTGAAAAAAGAGGACAAGAAATTGGTGGTGGTATATTGGGTGACAGAAGGGGTGGACCTGGAAGGAGTGCGGGGAGAAGTGGGATTAAATATTATTCAAATACATGTATGACATTATCAAAGAATAAAAATATTATATTAAAGATATTTAAAGATTTAAGTTATGGGGTCTGGAGAGACAGCTCAGTGGTTAAGAGCACTGGCTGCTCTTGCAGAGGACCCAGGTTCGATTCCCAGTACCCACATGGCAGCTAACAAACATCCGTAACTCCAGTTCCAGGGGATCTGACGCCCTCTTTTGACTTCCTCAGGCATTGTACGACATGGGCACACTTACATACATGCAGGCAATGCACTCATACACATAAAATGAAAACAATTTTTAAAAAAGTTTTAAGTTATGAACAGAAAAAGAAAGAACACACCTCAGTTGAAGGGGAAGGCTTTTGTTCTCATTTCCCCTTCCTGACAGTGCAGAAAGAACTACATAGCAAGTCAGTTTGCATTTACTCACTTGTGGGACCAGTTAACTTTCAAATCATCCAGGTAGTAAGTGACGAAGGAGTACAGCCGAATGCCCTCTGCTGTGCTCTGGATTTTCAGATCTGTGGCCGACAGAGCTGAGGGAGAAAGCATTATAGTTCATGCAGCTGTCAGTCCATCCTGGCAGCATAAATGAGGCACTGCTGGAGCAAGAAAATGGTAACCTACCTATTTTCCTGCACACTTCAGTCATCAGGTCTTTGAAGGCTGTGGATAGAGGCACATAGCCAAAACTTTAGCAAAAGCATGCCCCATATCTGGTCAAATTCAAATCATTAGATCTCAAAAAAGTCCCTGTCTGATAAAAGGCATTGGACAGAAGGTGAATTTGTTGACTCATTGGTAATTAGTGCTTTTTCAGAAAACAATTCAATTTTTATCAAGTTTGAAAAAGATTTTTGCTTATTTTGATATATTTTTCCTCAAATTATTTGTAATTAATGTGTTATGTACATCCTAGAAAAAGCCACAGTAAGGTTTTCAGGAAGGTTTTTGGCTTTGGGTCTCTCTCTTCATAAGTCCTAAGCTTTAGTTCATATTACAGGAACGGTCTTATCTGTGCCATCAGTTCATAATGAATTAACCATGTAGACGTGTTGCCTTCCTCAGCCTAATAACACCACCTGCCAATAAACATGTTAGCTCCATCTCTACCGAGAGCTGGAGAGCCAACTAAAAGTTAGCCTTCTGCTGGCTGATTGTGATCCTACTATGAAATCTTGTTCAGGTAGAAAACTGGATGTCTGGGATCACAACTAAGCTTTTATTATCATGAGATACTTGTCCTTAGTAGTCTCTGAAAAGTGGAAATTGCTGCCTTGCTCTAACAAACGCAAGGCTTCAAATTTTATTATCAAATTTTCTTGCCACCCCTAACAATGGGCTATTTTTCAGCATGCTCCTCACAGAAGGTTTTGATCCCAGAACATTTTTGTAGCATTGAAACAAAGATGATGATTTAAATTGAAAACAGACTTCTAGTGACCTGTGGGCTATAAATTCTTTAGGGATCAAAAGTACACTTTTGGTTTTGAGGAAGACCAAAACTGAAATGTTTTTGAAAAAGAACTTTTGAAAAAGTTTGCTCTGCTGGAATTTCAACTAAACCAAAACCAGTGGATACAGATCAGTATGACTTCAATGGCCACCCCAGCCCCATCATGATTCTGGTAACTGTCTTCAGAACCCTTGAAACAGATCCCAGCTGTGGGTGGACCCACCTTCATCCACAAGCTTCAGTCTGCTTTTATCTTTTCCTCGGTCATCTTTCAGGATAACTTCATAAAATCCAGCATCTTTCTTGGAAAACTAAGAAGACAATAAACACTGCAGCTTAATTTAGTTCAGGATTGGTTGTTACATTTGTGTGTATGTATGTGTGCACACACACGTGCATGAAGTGCATGTGTATGTTCATGTGTGTGTAAGTGCAGATATGTGTGGGTGTGCATGCACACGTGTGTGGAAGCCAGAGTCAACTTTGGATATTGCTCTTTAGGAGACTTCTACTGCGTTTTTGATACAGTCGTTCATTTGGACCACAGTTACATTAGCTGGTCAGCAGGCCCCAGGGAGCTATTTGTCTTTGCCTCCCAGCATTGGGGTTAACAAGTATGTACCCCATGCCTGGACTTTAATGACGGTGTCAGAGATCAAACTCATGGCAAGCACTTAACTGACTGATCTCCTAGCATTTTAAGGTCCTTAATTTATGAACTATTATGAAAACCCACACTGAACAAGCATCTAGCCATAGCAATGACAATTCACAGATGCACCTAACCCTAATTATTTTCCCAGCTAGTACTCCTGACTTTTTAGCCCTCTAAAGCTACAACGATTTAAGCCTTCAAGTCTTTAAGTTTTTTTACTCTACTTTTGTTTATTAAAAAATAATTAATTACTTTAAGTGTCAGGTATATGTCTGTAATCCCGGCACTTAGGAGGCAGAGGAAGAAGGATCAGGAGTTTAAGGCCAGCCTTGGATAAATAGCAAGTTTGAGGTAAGTCTGGGCTACAGGAGACCCAGTCTCAATAAGCAAAGTCAAAAGAAAATAAGCTCCAAACAAAAACCTTAGAAAAAGAACAACAAAATAATAATTACATATATTTGCAAGCTATTCTTTTTTAACTTAAAAAAAAAGCCACCATTTAAGTGAATATTGTGTCTTTCTAACTTTGTCTTTTAAGGAACAAGGTATGCCATGCAGTTTAAGAATGAGCAAAGAAGAGCCCAATTAGCTGTCTGTGTTTTTAAAATGTAGATCAAAAGCAAGTGTTGCAGCATCTAGTTGGTTTTGGTTGGAAATTTGACAAGGTATGTTATCATGAGGTTTAAGTACAAACAAAGAAGAACCCAATTAACTGCCCATTTCTAAAAAATAAGATAAAAGTAGTTTAAAAAGCAAGCATTGTAGAATCCAGTTGGTATTGCTTAGAAATTTGACAAGTGCACACATGTTGCAAAGTAAAAGAAGCTTAGTGCTGCTTTATCCATCGGATGTCAGCTGAGTTCTTTCACGTAATAACTGCTGAATCCAGCTTCTGTTGGGGGTGAGTGTAGTACAGAGCCAGCAGGCTCTATGGTGACAGCCACCCACCTCTGTTATAAGCAGGGTGCAGATGCCGTCCTTAAAGTCATGCTTTTCATCCACTGATATCTCCCGCTCATCTTTGTACCACACAATGTGAGTCTCTTTTTTAATATTTGCCACCTGGAAGAAAAAGAATTACCTTCCTTAAAATATAGAAATAAATTTTATTCTTATGAAGGTAAACAGTTCTTAATGTATTAGAGTATTAAAGAGAAAACACTGAACCAGGAATAAAAAGACACAGATTTCTAAGGGAATTAGTCCAAAACTACTTTCGTTGAAAAAGGGGTTACAATAAAGTATATGCCAGTGAATAAGCCTAAATCAAAAGCACCTTCATTTCCAGTGGAAAAGTTGTCTTTACACCTGATTTCCATGACAAATATAGAGATTCTGTACTAGTTAGTGGAACCAGTCTCTGTATTGCTGTAGGGATAGAGCAGAAAAATCAAAACAGAATGGTAGAATGGAGGCTGTCCCAATGCCAGACTCACCCCAAAGGAGTGGTGAGATCAGCAGTCGGGCCAGCTTGTGTCAGTCTAAATGGTTTCAAAACCAATTTAAAATTGCTGCCAGGGAAAAGTGTACTCATTAAAATTTGACAGACTGAAAAAGTAAAGCACTTTTCAAACTAAAAATATCATTGAATAAACTGGGCATGGTTGTATAGGCTAATAGTCTTGCTGAGGTTTCCTGAGCCCAGAAATTTGAAAGTGGCCTAGTCAACATATGAGCTCCTATCTCCATCCCAAAAGCCCTTGAGTAGAAAAGAAAGAATAGATATTGTGTGAGTGTGTGTATGTAATATGCATATGTAAATGAAAATAAAATTCTCAAAACCAAGAAAAGACAAACCCTATTGTGTTAAAATAATCTTAAGAGCATCACCAAATGAACAAAATAAATAAGCCCCAATTTATATCTAAAAACTTTAATGAGACAATGAAGTGCTACAAATATATGTACGGTTTACTTAGTTGTTTATCAATTTTGAAGAGATGCATGTAGATCCTAATCTGTATATCACAACATTTCAAATGGACTAAATAATCTCATACAGTTGGTGGGGATCCTGAGCTTTATCTACACATTTGAATTTCTTTTACATTTTATTTATTTTTATTTTATGTGTATGAGTGTATTGCCTGAATGTGTATAAGTGCACCATGTACAAGAAATGCCTAGGCAGAGGCCAGAAGAGGGTGTCAGAGTCCCTGGAACTGGAGTTTAAGGATGGTTATTAGCCACCATGTAGGTGCTGGGAATATAACCTGGGTCCTCTGGAAGAACCAAAAATGTTCTTAATCACTGAACAATCTCTCCAGTTCTGCATTTGAATTTTTTTTTTACAAAGGAGAATATATCCTTGTATTTCTTAAAATTTTAAATTGTATAGAAGAGTAAAGGCTTCGTACAAATCAAGAAAATAACCCCAAAGACCCCGAATAACTGGTAAGATATACACACATTTCTCCAAAGAGGAAATACAACTACAAAACAAACATGGAGAAAGTGTTTAGTCTCATTATAAACAACAACGACAACAAAATGTTTTACTGTGTTGAAAGAATTTCAGCTATGGGTTGGGGCTGTAGCTCAGAGCCAGAGCATTTGATTCGCATGTGCAAGGCCCTGGGTTTAATCTCTGGAACACACACACACACACACACACACACACACACACACACACACGATATTCATCTAATAAGAGCTGGTACTGATAACAGTGGTGAAGCCAGTAAAGAAAAGGCTGGTTTCTTTTTTATTTTTTTAAAACATTTTATTTATGATTTTTATTTTATGTGTATGCGTGTATTGTCTACACATAGGCAAGTGCACCCGTGTCATGCAATGCCTGCGGAGGACAGAAAAGGCCATTGGATTCCCTGGTACTGGAGTTACAGACAGTTGTTAGCTGCCATGTGGGTGCTGGGGTTTGAACCTGGGTCTTCTGCAAGAACAGTCAGTGTTTTTAACCTCTGAGCCATCTCCCCAGCTCTGAAAAGGCTGGTTTCTGAATTACAGAAAGTTATTGTGTCACTTGGTGGCATTGCTTGTGATAAAGATGACCCAGTTAAAAAACTGCGTCTGAACTGGAAGGAACTAGAAATGTTCTGAACTTGTTGAATACACTAACTCTTGTCATTATGGTACCCTCCTTGCAGGGATCCCAAAGGCTCACTCTGGGGAGTTGTGACAGGAGGTTCTGGGTACTTGGGGGCTGTGTAGTTTCTTGTAGCCAGAGCACCTCCTGTTTCTGCCTCAGGTGGTTCTTGTTTTTGTATCCAGGGGCAGCAAAGGGAATACTACCCACGTGTACTCCTGCAGTAGAAGGGCACCCAGTGCTGTTTTGTGGGCAAGCTGGGGACTTCCTCAGTCCTTTGGAATAGACTAACTGGGGTCACTGTGAGACATGTGGGTCAATGTTCAGTTGCACATGCTGCATAAACTATATATAGTTTAATACTAAGTTGCTAAATTTACATAAGTTGTTCCAATGATGTAACAAAGAACCATGGGACAATAGAGGAAGGTTCAATCAAGCTGGACTGAGAGGGGAGAGGCCTTACAGAGATAACTGAGCTGGGCCTTGAGAAGGGATTTAAGCATAAAGGCTGAAAGTAGGTCATCTGGGTCTGAAAACAGCAGCGCAGACAGATGATGTGTGAATGGCCATTACTATTTCTGGGCTGTTGTTCCTGGGGAAGGGGCTGGTTCTCCTGAGGAAAGTCATTAGAGTGGGCACCAGAGCCCACCCCCTAGAGAGCAACAGGCAGCACAGGAGAGGGGGCACACACTGTGCGTCTGGGATGAGAAGCAGAGTGGGAAAAGCAGGGAAGGGCACACAGAGAGGCACAGAGATGGGGAGGCCTTGGGCTGCTGCCCGAGAGTGAGTTTTCCCAAGAAGTCTTGTTATTTCCTGAGAGGCAGAAATCTAGAACTTATTTTTCTTAGTGATTTCTGGTAAACTGCTGTTTCTTCAGCTTTATCAGTTCTTGTACTGCACTTGGGTTCTGGCTTTCATGACAATTGCATGCTAAATGCCAGGTCCACAATTCTGTTTTACTATTGGCCATCATGACCTCACATTCCAATCTTATCCAACAATTCCAAAATGTCTCCAAAATGTCTTTTAATTAAGAAATACATTTTTTGCCCCTGAGTTGGAGTGTCTTGCTACATTGAGAGGCTGTACTCTGGGTCCTGGGCTTATGTGAGCATCCTGAGTATATGGGACTACAGGCATGTGCCACCGTGCTCAGTTCCCTAACACTCTTTTCTATGGTTAAGTACTAAATCCAGGACCTTGCACATGCTAGGCAAGTGCTCTACCACAGAGCTACATCTAAAACCCTAACGATTCACTCAGCTAAGATATGCTAAGATGCAGAATAGTTCAGAATGCTATGCTGAACTTTCTTTCTGAATCTTCCCAGAGGCCTAGTAAAATGACTGGTTAGGAGCTCTAAGCCCTTTCCCAACCTCTGCCCCTGAAGGCAACATGGAGGTGGGACTGGAAGCACAGCTGGTAACACTCAGAGGCACTGACATGCAGGTCTCGGTGCGCAGGTCTCATGACAGAGAAGTTCACCAAAGAGCCCTGAGCTGGGATGAATCAGGAGGAGATAGACCACTTGGAATGTAGATTTGGCCTTGAACAAAACAGTGCGAGGGTCTCCAGAGTCAGCAGAAGTTGGGTATCCCTAATTCAAAAGTCCCATAATGCTCTACAATCTGAAACTTTCTAAGCATCAACATGACCACACAAGTGGAACAGTTCATGTCATGAAACCTTGTTTCATGTGCAAAATTATTTAAAACACTGTGTAAATTACCTGCAGGCATGAATGTCTCTATGAGAGATATATGAAACATGAATGAATTCTACATTTAGATTTGGGTCCTGCCCTATCCCAAAGTCCCAAATAGATCTCACTCAAACCATTTTGAATAAGTGATACTTGGCCTGGAGCTCAGTAGGAACCATGTCTTCATTAATAGGTCAAGGGTAACAGGAGCAGTCACCTTGCCTTCCCATATTTTTATGCTGTTTTGCTTTGTTTCTTACCAATGAAAGGTTACAGGAACATTCAATGTAAGGATGTATCTATTGCTTCTCATTTTGGATCAAATAGAGGAAGATGAAAAATTGATCTTTTCCTTCCTTAAATTCTAGTTTATTTCTCTTGAATCAAATATAATTTTATCCATATCTTACCTTGCATTTTAATAGTACATTACATTCACCAGTTACTTCCCAGCTCAAATACTCAGCAAAATGTGGACCTATAAAATTTTAATGACATAAACAATCACTTTATTAATACAAATGCAAAATCAAAGCTCATCCTTAAATCCTGAGGTGATTTATGTTTGAAGTCAAATTTTAAAACTTAAAGATTTAGTTTTAAAATATTTTAATGCCTACATATTTAATATTTATTTTCAACTATTTTTATTTACCAGACACTAGCACAGTCAATTCTGTTCATTTTAATTTGCTATGGAAATAACCTTTGGAATATTTTATACAAAAAAAGGTAAAGGTGTTTTTCAACCCATTGTCTATTTTTACCTTGTTTCCTGATCCATTCTTGCCTCTGGAATTCAGCTTCTTTCTGGAGCTTCTTATAAACTAGAAATTGGAAAACAAGGAAATATGAAACTGAGTTGAGCAGCACGAATCCACACGGCAGCCACCGTGCTAAATGACCATACTACTACAATGCTCGTGCATTGTGCTGACCCTGCTTGTTCTGAGTTTTGTTTGTTTATGAAACAGGGTCTCCCTGTAGCCCCAGGCAGCATGGAATTCACTATGTATAACTTATAGAGATGTACTTGCCTCTGCCTCCCTCTCAAATGCTGGGATTAAAGGCATGTACCACCACACATGGCTTCTTCTGATTTTTTTTTTTTTTGGTCTTTTTTGAGACAGGGTCTCTCTGTAGCCCCAGCTGTCCTGGAACACACTATGTAGACCAGGCTGGCCTTGAACTCACAAAGATCTGCCTGCCTCTGCCTCACAAGTGCTGGGATTAAAGGCATGTGCCACCATGCCTGGCTCATTCTTCTGATTTTTATAGGTCAAGAAATAGCCTTTGAGGGGCTAGAGAGATGGCTGGCTGCTCTTGAAGAAAATCCAGGTTAGAATCCCAGCACCCACATGGCAACTAACAACCATCTATAACTCCAATTCCAGGAGATCCAACACCCTCTTCTGACCTCTGTGGGCACTGTATGACATGGGTGTATGTACATACATGCAAGCAATACATTTATACACATAAAATAAAAGTTTTTAAAAAAGAAATAGCCTTTGAAAAATGACTGTTAACTGTGTGTATGTGTTCATGTGTGCACATGTGTGTTCATGTGTGTAGGCCAGAAGTAGACATTGGCAATCCTCCTTTCTCACTCTCCACCTTATTTTTCAAGGCAGGGTCTCCCTCACTAACCCCAGAGTTCGCTGATGTGGCTAGCCAGGCTGGCCAGAGAGCCCCAGGGATCTTCCTGTTCCTGTCTTCCCAGGGGATTATGGGTATGTGCTGCAGTGCTTGGCTTTTTATGTGGGTGCTGGAGACTGAAGTTGAGGTTCTCATGTTCGTGTGGCAAGCACTTGACTGACAAAGCCCTTGCTCCAGCCCAAAGGCTAGGTAACCGTCCCAGGGTCATAAAGCTAGAAAATAGTGAAACTGTACTGAATGTTGCAATATAAAGATCTGACAATCTTTCCATAGCTTTTTGAAGTGCCGTATCTTAAACCATGATGATTTCCACAAAGATTTATTGCAGCTGACCACTACTGTCTAGTTATATGATTGACAGATCTGACACACAATGCTTTCACATTTTTTGGTTTTTTTTCCCAAGTTTCCAATTTAGCGTAATCACACTGTAAAACAGTGTCAGGGTTTGTTTCTGTAACATATGCACGTACAGCCTTGGTTTTACTGTAACTTCATTTGTTGGAGAATTGAGTAGTATTTGTTTATATGTGAAACTAAGTCCAGTCATGCCTGAAAGCCAGGGACAGATTTGGTGCTCTTTTAAAGTAATGTTCATTTCTAGGTAATTGAATACTCTGGAAGTATTAACTAGACATTGTACTCTGATCTAGGAATTCAGTTACAAAACAGTTCCTGCCACCCCTCACAGGACCCCTTTCACACTGTGGGTGTTTGTGCTGAAGGAGTTCCGTGAGCCTCACTGTGTGTTCCCCAGAATTCTTACCATCTCCAATGAGGACAAGGGTAGAATGGCCGGTTGCTTTTCCATCTTGAATCTGGAACGTATATGTTCCCTCATCCTCATCCTGTAGCTTTTCCATGAACATTTCAATTATACCAGTATTTCGGTCAATATGCATCTTGTATTTCTTCAGGGTGAAAAGATAAAGACAGAGAAATCATTGAGACAAACATTTTACTTTGAAGAAAATAAGCCTGATGAAATAAAAATAAATCCCCCTAAATAATAATTTTAATATTTCTTGACAACTAAGCAAGCTGTTACAAATTTTGTTTCTGGAAAAAGAAATATATTTTGTGAGTATACAACTTAGGTAAGAATTGATTACTGAATAGTTTCAAATTTAATTTCCTAAACTGCTATAAAGTATTTATTACAAAGTATTCCCAAATTGTTTGAGATTCTTACTTTACCTTCTAGATGACATTGCTTTTAATTAGCAAAATAATATAAAATGACACTCATTTTACAAAAATGGTGATGTTGGCAGAGAGTGATACTCATTATGCCCCTCTTCCCTGGCCAGGGGGCACCACAGCAATTGATGAACATTTTGGAAATGGGAAGGAAATGGGCCACAGTGGACACATGAGTGACTTGATCTGGTTCTGTGTGAAGGTTCTCCCGTGTTGGAAAGGAATAGATAGCATACAAAGAAACACTACTCATTCTACCCACTACTGATGCTCATGTATTTAAAGTACAGCTCAATGCAGACAGAATCATTTATGCCTGTGAGAGCACAGGGGAAGGCGAGAGCCACTGAACCCCAAGTTCTTCAGCACTACTGGGCACTGTTATAACTCTACCGATGTCTATGGGGAAGACAAATGCAGCTCAGATGCTGTAACTACATCTATAAAAACTGTGCTTATATAAAAACTAAGTAGCATATGTAATATATACATATAACAACGTATGTGAATAAGATACAAATATACACACAAAAGCACAGTAGAAGTCCAATAACAGGCATGAAAAGGTACAAGAATCTGTGATTTTTCTTTTCTGATTCTTCAAGTTTTTCACACTAAAGATGTATTTTTAACCAAAAAGTGATGGTGGATATTCTTATCACAGTTTTCTTACTGAGACACAGAAACAGACCATTTTATCTGTAGAATGTGTCAAGCCTGCTGGTGTTTCTTATATGAACAGTCTGGATGATTTTAAACAACTCATTTTTTAAAAAAACCAACAAAACTCTGGATCTTGAGATTATGTGAACAGATTAATAGCTATGCAAGTAGCCAGTGTCCCCTTTGCCTACCCAGGAAAGTCATTCTGTTTTCATGAGGGACTATTTGCATAAGGGTTTATGACTTTTGTACTGGAAAAAAAATGATTGATTGATAGCACTCCTTTTCATAAAAACATCCCAGTTTGGCTAATACAATATAGTTAGACCATATTTTCCCTTTATCTTTTTTGGCATGTGTGGATGATGTTAAAAACTACCACCCTACTGCCTAGTAGTATTGTAACAATTTATCCTCATTCTCATAGGACATCTTCAACTCTTTCTACAGTGATGCATTTAAAATGGGGCTGGCAAGATGATTCTGTAGGTAAAGCACTTGTCACCAAACCCATATGGTAAAAGGAGAAAACCAACTCCCACAAGTTGTCCTCTGACTTGGGTGCTGTGTTTTTGTGCATGTGTGTGCGCACACATAAACACACATACACTAAATAAAATGTAATTAAAATATTAAAAGTAAATATTTTTAAATTTAAAAAATGCAAAGCCTACCGGCCCTTCAAAAATTTCCTTTTCGTTAAATATATAGTTGACTTTGGCATTCCCAGAGAGCTTCTCGGCCTGCATCCAAAACCGGACCTGACCTTTCTCCAAAATTTCAACTGCCAACTCTGATTTGGCAGGAACAGCTAGGAAAAATAAAAATACACATAATAAGTAATCATACTGGCAATCAATAATATTGATACAGATATTCTAACAAGTGCAAAAACAGCCAATAGAAATAGTGAGGTAGGCCCTGCTTCCTGCAGAGCCCAGTAAGAGTGTTATGGGAAAGCTCAATTGAGGGACAGAGGCCTGGGCTCTCATCCCCAGTACGCACCTTCCTTGAATCATAGTCATCTCCACTGTAACAATAAGGAAGATGAAGCTGCCTACAAAGGACTTCTAGTCAACCTCTGTGACTCCCAACTGTGGCTGTGGTTGGAGTTAGTCCAGGGAGATCACAAGGTAGGATGAAAAGAGTCTTGAGGTGACCCAGGACAGCTGTTGTCTAGCCCCAAGGTCTGCTACTAACAAGTGGTGTGGGGCAGGTTACTTTGTGTTGTTCATTTAACTAGTCTGCAAATTAATGGTATTAAACTAAATGCCATAATTAGTCAAGATATTTCCCAGTTCTATGATTCTAAAGTTTACTATCTTAAGTATTTAAAAATATTTACAGTCACCTTTGATTTTTTTCAAACAATTTAACTCACTTTGGTTCCTACTCCCAAATATTTTGTTAAAAATAAATTTACACATTTGTCCTTCCTTAACTACTGATTTTAAATTGTTGTACCTAGGAGGCTCCATTGGCCTTCCATATCTGTTTCATATTCATAAATTCAACCAACCATGGATCCAATATATATTTCCAACTGTACTGAACACTTACAGACTTCTGTCATGCTCTAAACAATATAGCAGAACAACTATTTATTTTGCATTAACATTGTATTAGGCATTATAAGTAATATAAAGATGATTTAACTGAAAGGGAGAATGTGGCGGCTTAATGCTGTTTTAGTTAACGGTCTTGTGCATCTGCAGATTTTGATGTCCACAGGGGGTCCTGGTACCAAGGTTCCACGGATACCAAGGCACACTATATACCAATATATACCAGTTCGTTTTGATTCCAAGACCAAATACAATTCTTCAGGCCAAATAAGTGAGTCATGGTCAAGAGGCTATATTAAAATATGGCATAGCTTTCTTCACTAGAGAGAGAGATGACATATAGTGGCTTTGATTTATACCTACATTGCTTAAGCCTTGAATCTCAGTAAAAGTTGACTAGCATCTCTCAAGACTAATTTTTAATTTTCTTTTATCTTCATGTGTTCTCTGGGAAGGCTCCTTCTACCATGTTCTGTGTCAGAGCAGTTCCAGGACACACTGTAGGTAAATGTGGCTGTTTCTCAGTTTAGTCCTTAACTTCCTTTAGAGGAAACCTCTACCCTTTACTTTCTCAAAACTGTTCTTAATTTATTTCAACATTTTAGCATATACTATATTTTAAATTACAAGATTCCCAAATGTGTACCCAATACATTACTATTTCTTTATAGTTATTCTAAGTCTACGCTTTTCAAGCTTTTTTGCATTTCCTCCTATCCACTGTAAAAAATTGTTTACAGATTTGTTCTGCTTCAGAATTAAGGAACACTCAGACATCCTGTACCAAGGGGATGTACCATGGAGGAGGAAAGATGGGTTCTGGAGTTGAAACGTGATCCTGAACAGTTGCTCCCCTCCTCAAGCCTCATGTTCCTCAACTGCCAACATGCATGTTGTGTGCCTCACATGAACATAATTAACTGTGGCACAACAGAATCATTTAAATATGGCAGATAACAATCAGGGTTGAGAAGGTCTGTCCCCCCTGCCACATACACACCAAGTTTACTGACAAGAAAACGGAAAGCCAGGAGAGAGTTGTGACATATCTGGGCCACAGAACTGAGCCCGGGTTAGTGCCACTATTTGGGTTGCTCTTTGTTCCAGTTCCACTTCTCTGATAAACGCTGTGGATTTCCATTGTGAGCAGATGTCTGAGTAAAGCAGATTAAAGGACAGTGCTCATGATCAGAGGCTAATGTCTGCAACAAGTAAGTCTTGAGAGTACAAAGCCTCTTCTAGAACAGTCTGGAGGCCTCATTCTGAGGCCCTTAATATATGGGTGATGTGGCCAAGAGTGGCAATGGGAAGGAAGGGACTGGCATTCTGGAAGGCTCCCGCTCCTTTGATGTTACCTGTCCTCTCTGTGTCATAAGAACATTGTCTGGAGGAACACAGGCTGCCATGAATTGCTGCTGAGGGCACAGAGCAAACATAGCGGATACAAGCATAGAAACAGACTGTTACAGGGTTAAGGGAACAGGCACTAGAGTCAGCCCCTTGGGCTTCATCAGCTGTAGGCAACTAGTCTAATTATTAACTCCTCTGGGCCTTATGTTCTTCACTTTTAAAAATCAAATCACTATATTCCTGACCCTTTCTGGGTCATTGAATAATTCAGTGATACATTCCATTTAAATACCGTAGAAAATGCGTAATAAATGCTCTAAAAATGTTGGCTATTAATATTTTGTTATCTGCTTTTTCCTCCAGTTGCTTCAATAACACCCTACAAATGCCAATTGTAAAATATAATGTGTTGAAAACTAAGAGTATGTAGCAATATATCTATATTTATGGATACGTGCTTGTGTATGTCTGCACAAAACATTGTATGTATAGGTAGGATAATTAGGGAATGTCTACAAAGGGAGATGACACAGGATGTTGCTGATACCATAGTATAATCTCCATCCTCGGACAAGCTGTCTCACCATGCTGCCATTTGGTATTAATATTGGTGAGGTAGACAATATTGTTTTCTATTTTTAAAAATATTTATTTATTATTTTTTATTTTATGTGTACAAGTGTATTGCCTGCATGTATGTGAGTGCACCCATGTCATGCAGTGCTGCGCAGGTCAGAAGAGGGCTTCGGATTTCCCTGGAACTGGAATTAAGGACGGTTGGGAATCGAACCTAGGTCCTCTGCAATCAGTGCTCCTAACTGCTGAGCCATTTCTCGAGCTCCTATTATTTTCTATTTTTACATCTATATATATTTTTCCTTTTTCTCATCTCTAGATTACCATCTCTGACAGTTCATTTGTTCTAACAAAATGTGTTATTTGTAGGTTGAAGGCATATGCTTAATGGCTTTCAAAATATTTTTGAAACTGACTTTATGGAGAATTTACTGTGCCAGAAGATAAAAGTACAGCATTCAGAAAATTTACATTCGATAAAAATGAGACATTTGAAACCTTATGTTTTCTTGAGAAATAACTTAATGACCAAGACTAAGTGGGCATAAATTGAGAAATTAGATGTGCTACTTTGACCCTGTTGGCAGATCTCTGAAAATGTTCATGTAGTGACTTCATCACTGTGGCTGGGGAAAGAAAAATACTGGAACTATCCTTTTTTTAAAAAAAACTTTAAAAAAATTTATTATTTTTATTTTACATGTATGTGTGTATTACCTGCATGCAGGTAAGTGCACCCGTGGCGTGCAATGCCCGTGGAGGTCAGAAGAGGCTGTCGGATCCCCTGGGACTGGAGTTATGGACAGTTGTTAGCTGCCATGCTCTGCCATGTGTTCTGAGATTCGAACTCAGGTCTTCTGTAAGAACAACCAGTGTTCTTAACTGCTGAGCCATCTCTCCAGCCCCTTTTCTTTTTTAAAATTAAAAAAAATTATTTATTATTTTTATACTGGAATTATTCTATTTTAAATAGTGCTTCAGGGGGCTGGAGCCATGGCTCAGTGGTTACAAGCACTGGTGCTCTTGAAGAGGACCCAGGTTCAGTTCCCAGTACCCACATGGTGGTTAACAACCATCTGTAACCCCAATTCCAGGGGATCTGATGCACTTTTCTGGCATCCACAGGTATTGCACAACACGGATATGCTTACATACAGGCAAAACACTCATACACATAAAATTTAAAAAAATAATAAAAATAAAATAT